TTTCCCTAATCCCTAGCCTTCCCTGGTCTAAGATATATTTTTTAAAACTAGTCTTTCTCAGCATATGAAGTTTGTTGTCTTACATATATGTTTAGTTAAGTTTTAATTATCTGTAAGTTTAATAATTTTCCTTTGTAAGAGGGTCAGCTTCTGAAAGTGTTCCAGCATACTGGTTAATGTGGGTTAGCTTGCAGACAAAAAATGTTGTCAGTTTTTTTCTAATTCTTTTCAAATAATCTAATCTAATCTAATAATTTAACCATTATTATTTAATCACACAAATCTGATCTCCAACACAAATTACATAGATAATATTTATGTTTCTACTATGAGTACAGACTTGAAATATCAGGTGTGTTATAAGTGAAAAGCAATTCATAAAACATCAATAATGAGTGGCTAGTGATAACTGTGACTTAAGCATAACCACTGAATAGTGTAGTATAAGATGTAACCACGACTTCAAAACATAGCCAGTTGTTCTCAACTAGCATTGCCACTGGGGTGGACTATGGATAAAAAAAATCCTAGACTTATGACTCAGACCACATTTGTTAAACTGATAAGAAATAAAAACCCCTGTCACGATTATATGATTAATCATTCTAATGATTTAACCTGTGTCAGATATCTCTGGTCATTTTATGGCTGTAAGTTATGAAGATAACACTAAATCCACTACAACAATAAAATGCATTCTCAACATACAAACAAAAGGTAAATGCTATTTATTGCAGCTCCATTTGCATTGTTTGTAAAGGTATTTGTATTTCTCATGTATAGTAACTGCAATTGGTACAAGATTAGAATTCAAACTGGACAGCACAGCAAAAATACTTTTTACGTCACACAAAAGCTCTTTTTTGCCATTAGGTTCGTTAATAATTATTACCACAGACACAGTACAGAAGTAATTTAATGTTTTATTGAATGAGTGAGTTTGTGATTCATGAGTTTGTGTAGAGGTCAAACAACAATCTTCCTCACCTCTTCAGTAGTTTATAATGTGTTCCTCTCATTCTCACCCACATCAAATCTGCATACACTTTATAAGTATTTGCACCAAATACATTAACCTCTGACGGAGGTTTTCGAAAAGATTATATAAATCTGATGGAAATAACGGATGAGAACAACAATAGGTGAAAAGGCAATGTCATTTTTGCATGCTGGAACTGCTGAAATCAGAGGTCATTGGAGGAGACTTCACTCATCTGAACCTGAGTTGAGTGATAAAACTGTCAGAGGCAGAGCAAAGAGATATGACTGTTGTCGTCTGAAATCTTTCTCATAACCTTCAGCTAAAGACAGTGAAGAAAAGACGAGCGGAGAAAGAGAGTGGCACTTCTGTCACTTCTCGTTGAAATGAAAGGGACATTAAGAGGCTTCTGGAATGTTAATCGTGTATCGATCTGTATAATCTATGGCTAACTCTTGTCCCTGGGTCCCTATATGTGTGAGCAATGAACGTCATTCTCCCACACTGCAGGAGAGACAGTGACCCTATTGTATCTTTAATAAGGTACACATGTACTGCAGGACCCCTGTTTCCTCTTTATTGGCTGGACAATGTATATTGTTTCTATGTCCTTTTTAATAGACCATATAGGACCCAAATTTCCCAATTTGGACCAGTTATAAAACACCTGTTCCAGTTTATCAACCAGATATGGGACCCATAGGTCCTTTTAATCGAAATATGACCCCTGTATCATACTTATAGACCACAGTGGGGACTGATTTCCTGTTTACACTGGGTACACCCTTGTTGTTATCTGCATAGAGCAGACAGTTCATGTTTTATGGAACCACTTCTTACATATATACATAATCTTGTGTAGTTTAACAACATAACAATGTCTGATTGTCCATGAATTCTAGAATGACACACAGAAGTGTTTTCTGATCTGATGCCGCTATCGGCACAACAACATAATTTGTCTGTGCCTTCCAAAACTGTTAGAAACCACTGTAAATCTGTTTGGCTAAGAATTCATTAAAGGTCCCATATTATCAGTGTGCCACACACGGACCTGTACGTGTAGCCGTGTGATGTGACATCACATACCGAGCCTTGGGCTGATGTCTGCGACTTTGCTGCAGGGGAATAAAGACACGCGCGACTGAGTTTACTTTCTATTGTGATAGTTATTGTAACACCACTTGTGAGAATGATCAGAGTCCAGCCTGGACACCTCTTCCTCTAGTGAGGAGGAAACTTTGATATGTAGTGGCAGAAACTTGTTTCCATGAGATGAGAGATCTCTCAATTCAATTCAATTCAAAATTAGCTTTATTGGCATGAATGTATAACAACAATATTGCCAAAGCATCATACAAACATAAGAACAATCAGCATGTGTGTGTGTGTGTGTGTGTTAGAAAAATCTCTCTCTCTCCCTCTCTCTCTCGCCCATTGCCATGAATGTTTAGGTTGTTTAGGTTGCAATGTTGCCAGTGCACAAATTCACATATAAACAATAAAAAATATGTAATTAAATAATAATGTGATAATTAAGTTACTTTATACACACAACAATGGTTCTCCGTTTGTTGCATGAGGAAATACATTTAGCTGCAATGATATGGCAGTAAGTAGGAGAGTTTCTGTGTGTCTGATTTAGCTCTCTTTTGCACACACACACTGTTTGGAGCAGGTTTTTAGTCTTTCTTCTATTGCTACTGTAGAATGAAGTTAGTTCAATATAAACTAGGCCTATACTGTGTGTGTGTGTGTGTGTGTGTGTGTGTGTGTGTGTGTGTGTGTTGATGTGTGAGTGTGTGTGTGTGTGTGTGTGTGTATATATATACTGTATATATATACATATATGACCTAACTATAAAATATTAAAAAATTAAAAGTAGATTAGATGTAATTAAGCTACTTTTGCCACGTTGCTGTAGCTTAGTTTGCTACATTTCACTGGGGAGTAGCTTCTGTGTAGGGAAGCTTCATTTAATGTAGAGTAGCTAGTAGCGTAGCTCACTACATTTTCCAAGTAGCTTTCCCAACACATATATTATGCTTATTTTCAGGTTCATACTTTTATTTTGGGCTTTAATGTTCAAAAACAAATTATTTTTCTAATACTGTCCTTTGCTGCAGCACATCTTTTCACCCTCTGTCTGAACATTTTGTTTTGGTGCCTGTCTCTTTAAGGCCCCCCTCCCTAAAAGCCAATTTTCTTCTGATTGGCCAACTTCTGGAAACCTGCCATGGGGCAGTGCTTGTGGCCCGCAACGCCTTATCCTTGACAGCATATGACAGCTACAGTAAATTAGCTAGGAAAATAGCAATATGGGGCACTGAATTTAATGAATTTACAGCATCAAACCACTAATGAGAGTATTAGGTTGGAAAAATAATAGACACAATAGAGTGTTTCTGGCAGCTGGCCTCAATGATTACTGGACAAACACATAACTTTATAACTTTATTTACTGATTTTGGTGAAACTAGATCATATTTTAACGTAGAAAATGTTTTCTGGTTTTCCCTCTGATGTCCTCTGGCTGCTCTGCCTCAACTTTCAGTGTTTTACAGAGTTTCCTGATGGACAGATAGCTTTAATATTTACTTTTCCTTCACAACCAACAAAACACTTTACTTTACGGGAGTAATACTGAGCAACCTCCAGCGACAGAATGATCACTTAGTGTTGTTAATAAAGTTAAAGTAGGCTCTGCTGGGGACATGGCTGAGGGAATTTACTGTATAGTTGTAACATCACAGCCTTATGGAAGTCCTGACGGCTTGTTAGGTCCAGTCAAGCCCCCAGGAAGCCAATTGACAATTTGACATAGTGGCCAAATCATTGAATTACAACTTCCAAGGCAGTCAAGTGATGTACACCTGCCCCAAAATACTTTCCCCTATAGACTTACACTGTGAAAGAAGTGGCTGTAAAACAGTGGATAATTTTTTTTCAGCATCACAACCCTTGCAAATTAGAATATGATTAATTCTGTCTTTTATCCCCATTTAAGTTAGCAGAGGGCTAAACCAGAAGTGGCCGCTTGCTTGCGGAAGTCTCTTGTGCGCTTGCTTCTATGGGACCACACAATGAGGAAGATATGGGAAAGATCATAATTAATTAATAAATGAAAAATAAAAATGTGGGCTACTATAGAAACATGCAGGGTGCGATTTGTGTAAAAAACAGTTTCCGCGTCTCCATGTAGAGCAGAGTTAAAGTCACTTTCATCCCCGCTCATTGTCAGATGAAGATAAAAAGGGGCATGTTGCTCAGATTAGGCCCAAAGGACTCATTTGATCAGATCATAATATTGTGGTTGACCATTTAGTATTAAACTGTAGAACTTTTTTGGTTGCAATGTCTGAGGGGAGATAATAGGTTTCTCCTAAAGATGACTCCACTCTCACTTGGCTTGCAGCCACAGGAAACAAAACACTGATGGCATTTGTTTTTCAAACAGAGAAAAATTCACATTTAGGAGGCTGGAACCAGAGAATGTTTGTCATTCTTCATGCTAAATGATTTATCCATTATCAAAATTTGCCAAAATGTAAGTCAGACAACTAATCCATTAAACCTCTTATCATATTAGCACTATAAACATAATTTAGGTTACACGTTTTTGATAGAACTTATGTTTCTTTGGATATTTGGCAATACTTACTTAATTAAATAACTTGCCAAAGGTGAATGAGGGGGTTGTCCAAAAATCAGCAGCCCACTGTGCTTGTGGGATCCCACAGCTGATGCTGGACCCCACAATTTAAAAGTTCTGTTTCAGGGTAAAGATTTGTTTTTTGGATTATGCACTTAATTGTGATGGTTATGGTAAACGGGCAAGGAATGAATTATATCAGTGACTTATTCCCACGAAGATAGTGACACTAGGCTCTTGTGTGTGTTTTTGTGTGTGTCTGTATGAGAGAGAGACACACACAGAGCCATTAGCTGTGGCTGCACGTTACACTCTGCAGCACTTGCGCACGCCTTTGACGCTGCGCTCACCTCTCCGCGTAGTAAAGCCTCTCCACGCCGCCGCTCCGTCACCAGTCTGCCGGAGTCTGCCGGTGGTCTGAGGGCCGTCGCTGAGACTCCACCAGCAGCGAGACAACGCGGCATCGAGCACCACCCCCTCCCCTCCTCTTAACCCTCCTCATCCTCATCTGGCTGTTTTTGCGCTTCTGCTGCAGCGTTCAAGTTCAGGTGAGCCTCGTCACTGGCACAACAAGTCCTCTGCCCGGGACCGACCGGGATGCTTGCTCCATGCCGTTCAGTGGTATGCTATAAATGGGCCGCGCAGGATGTAAAGCCTCGCTATAAGAAGCAGGAGGATGGCGAAACCAGGCTTGTCTGCGGCGGTGCTGCTGCTCCTGCTGGGCTTCTTGTCGGTGTCCTCCGTTAATGCCGGTGAGTTTTACCACAGGTTGACGGGCGATCATCGCGAGTAAACCGGGGATGATGTACTGGCTGATCAAACCACCACGTTACTGTGTAGTAGGCCTGTTAGTATGTTTGGACCCCAGCTGTCTAATGTGATGCATGTAATGTGCAGCGGATAGCACCTGGCAGGACACGTTGTTATATGTCGGGATCAGCATTTGCATCAACTAGGTTGAAGTAATAAGCTTTGTAATGCCAACCATGGCTGACACAAGTTAGTATCATACTGTATCAACACTTAGGCTATAATATGGTGCTTTTTAATAAAAGTTGTTCTCCCTAGTTTGAAGAATAGGCTAGAAATTTTTATTTTTTTTCCAAGAACAAAAATAATCTTTGCTGTACTCTGCCTATGGTTGAAGAAAGTTCTTAATTTTTAAGGGGAAACACATTTAGAAAATACAATTTTTAAACACCACCAAAGACTAAATAAGTTTTAGAGTTAATACAATTAACTGATTAATTATTTGATACAATTAGTTGATAATGATTTCAAAGAAAAATGGCAAACATTTGCTGATTCCACCTTGAGAAATGTGAGGATTTAATGCATTCCTGACATTTTATAGACAAACTGATTTCTCGATTAATCAAGACAATAATCGAAAAAAAGGATTGTTAGTTGTAACCCTAAAGTGTGTCACCCTGCCTGAAAACTTCCAGCTTCAACATCCATCAATGTCCTGAAGGGTTATGAAACAGTATTAGATTAAACAGGGGTGTGGTATTCATATTCAAAGCTCTCCATACAGCATAAACCTAATCAAAATATATTCTGCATATTGGATATAGGATCTCATCTATCTTTCATGATATTGCATATTTGTAACCTGCAGTGGCTTATATTCAAGAAGACATTCATCTCAAGTGTAAGATCTTGGTTACATTGTGTCCCGATGATAAGCAGAGAAATGACAGCTAGTCCTTTGAAAAGCTGAAATTGTGGTGATAAGATCCGGTGGAATTTATCTCAGCCTCCAGAGATTTGATATTTGGCTTCTTGAGGCTAGAAATGAATGTAGTTTTAAGGGGGAGTTTTGTGATTTTGCAGCCAGCTTTAAGCTCTTTGGCAGCAAACGGCTTAAGAATGGATGGGAGTCCCTCTCTGCTATTGTATTGTTTCTCTGTGTGTGTGTGTCTGTGAGAGAGAGAGGGGGAGAGAGAGAGAGACAGTGCCGGATGATCAACTGTGGGAAAACAGCTAGTCATAGCAGCATATCACACACGTACTTAAATACACCACAATCTACTCAACATAAACAAACACACATTTGAAACCACTGAGAGAGTTTGGCCCCAAACAACTGTTACACTCCAGTTTAACAATGTATTTGAGTGATTGTCTTAGCATTGGACAGACAAGGAGGGAGGCAGAAAGAGACACAGAGAGTACTGTTCTTCCTGTAATATCATTATATGAACAAGTCGGAGGCCGGGTGTTCAAGATTCCCAGAGGTGTGTGAGACAATGTGTCAATCTAATTTGCAAAAAGTGACAGACTACAGTTAATGCTCGTAATCTAGTTTATAAACGGAGAGAAAGAAAGAGGCAATTGGCTCACTCAGAAACACGCACTTAATGAAGTGGAGAAGGTAACACCTGGACATGAGAGCATACAGAAGAGCAACGTATTAAAGCAAGAGTATGTAACTTTTGAAAGACATAAAAGCACATTTTCCTCTTACAAATAACAAGAAGCAGGCGGCGCAGTAGTGCAGTGGTTAGCCTTTCTGTGTGGAGTATGCATGTTCTCCCCGAGTCCGCATGGGTTCTCTCCGGGTTCTCCGGCTTCCTCCCACCATCCAAAGACATGCAGTCTGAGGTTATTTGGTGTCTCCAAAAATTGTCCTTAGATGTGAGTGTGACTGGTTGTTTGTCTATGTGTGACCCTGCGATGGATTGGCGACCTGTCCAGGGTGTACCCCGCCTTTCGCCCAGTGTAAGCTGGGATTGGCTCCAGCCAAGCGGTTGGCGATGGATGGATGAAATAACAAGAAGCATCCAAGCAATAAAATGCACCTTTGCTCAACTCAACACACACTTGTTCTCTAATGACCAGTAGTCTATGGTTACTAATGTTAGCTAATGTTAGCAAACTTTAGATATATATTGCCGTGTTCCTGATGGACTGATGAACTAGCGAGCCGTGCTGAACAGATAATAATAAGAATTAAAGGTTCAGTGCATAAGTTTTAGTGACATCTAGTGGTGAGGGTTGTGAATTGCAATCAGCAGCTCACAGTGCATTCACATGCTCCTCGGGTGGTCCTACTTCCAGAGTTGTGAAGTCGTTCTTCCGACTTCAGTGTGCGTTCATATGCTTTTAAGTCGGAATGTGGAATCAACATGGATGCTACTGCAAAGATTTGTTGGATTAGCATTATCAGAGCATATAAACAACACACAGAGACACCTAGTTCACTCTTCATGGACAAAAATAACTGTTATAATTATATTACAAATTACATGTTTGCAAAGTATATATATGCAATACGTGATTTTGTACGAATCAAAGTTCTGTATACTTCTTTATGTCCAATGTACACTTTATTTCTCTTTTTGCAATAAAGATTTAAGGAGGAAAAAAAAGATTCTGATTATTCTGACACCACATGAATGCACCGCTCCCCCCTCCCTTTCCAAGCGTGCAGGAGAAGCTGACAGAGTGCTAAATAATAAGTGTGGACCTCCATTTGTCCAAATTCCTCTTCTTTTCTCACTTCTAATAAACCAGAACACAACTACTAATAGTAGTACTAGCGTACTTGTTCTTCTTCTTCATACATATTCAACGTAGTGACAAAACATGCTCTGTTGACCAGTTTGTCCGTTTGGGCTACTGTAGAAACATGGCGCCGCAACATGGCGACGTCTGTGTAGGAGGACCCACTGTGTATGTAGATAGAAATGGCTCGTTCTAAGGTCTTTATACACCGCTGAAAACATAGTTATGGATATTATATTGCATTTCTGTCAATAGATCCTCCTCAATATTACACTCTGAACCTTTAAGGTGCAGAAACATTTTGGACTCAACACCATAAATAGAAAGATTGAGATAAAGGTAAGGCACTTAGCTTTATCACATCAAATTTAAAGTCACCTGTTATGCTGTCACTGAAGTGAAGCAGTAGAGGAACTAAATCATAGCTTAGGGTTAAACTGTGCGGGTTGGGACTTAGTGTTAATTCTCTCTAGTGCTTTTTGACCACATGGGGGCAGTGGAAACATGCTGTAAATTCAACACTTAACATAACCTTATGAAGTTGAATGAGAAAATGTTAGCAAACAGTCCTGTTTTGCTGTAAACAGATGCCTGATGTGGCCGAAAAGGACGCTGGAGAGCGGTGATAGCGAACCAACAGTAAAGCTTCAGCCCAGAAAATCAAAACAACAAACAAAAAGATGCAAAAACGCTGCATAGAGCTGAGGGCAATGCGGAGTTGGTGATAATTATCTGTCAGTTTGTCTCTTTGAGTGAGCAGATTCACATACAAGTATTCATGTGATCCATTGTTGAAGAAACAAATTTGATTATAGTTGCTTTAAGACACGGTATACACGGAGGTGAAGTTAATTGGTTGTCTGTGCAATCATCCTATTTCGACCCATAGTTACGTATATTGTTAGGCTGCAACCTCTAGTGGCCATAGTAATTATGACAGGATCAAAGAAGGAGATCCGGTGAGGTTGTATAAAGAGCAACAAAGTCTGCGGAGGGATGAGGTTGGTGTAGATAGGTGGGTCAAACACAGGACACTCACCCAGGAGCCCGCTGTTCTTGTCCCGCGTGAAACCAAAAGTTAACATACGTAAGTAAAGTTACATATGTAACATAACCAAACTGTGGCCGTTAACCACGTGTTTATTATTTTACCATGACAAAGGTCTGGTACGCCTGTCACTGGTACTCTCCACGGTCATATGTGTTGTGTGGGAGTCACTGGCAAATAACCTATTCCTTCATTTAGGTATGAGGACGTGTTGACAATGTCAAGGTCAGACTCTAACGTTGCTTAGACAGATCAGGCTCATGGGAAATACAGCCCTGACTCTGATCATAGACCTTGAGATGGTCTCATCTCACACACACATACTCACTCATTCACGCATGCACAGACGCACAGACTAGAAATCTGGTTTCTGCGGTCCCTTTACAGTCAAGGAAGGAAGAAAGTTGGGCAAGACTGTAATTTAAAATCTATCATACCCAATCTCCTGATCAAAAAACATTTCATTGAATTCTGGGATGGGAGTTTTTTTAGACTAAACATTCAAATCAATTGGCAGCGTGACAGAGAAAATACATTCTCATGAGTCACACTTTAATGAGATGTGCGTGGGAGAAAGAAGAGAGAGAAGAAAGAAGGTAAAAACAGGAAAATGTTTGAGAGAGAAACACAGAGACAAGACAAATGAGAAACAGAGCCTTTTCAAGGGAAACACCAAGAGACCTCTGCCTGGTTAATTAGGCCTGGTATTAATGAAAGCAGAAAGATTAATTTGTTGGAGGAGATGAGAAGATTTTAGGGAAGGCGGGGCGACAGAACAAGAGAAGAATGAGTTCAAAGAGAGAGAGAGTGACAGAGATGGGAAGATGTGTGTTCAGGTCTACACTGTAGCATTGATTGTATGTATTACAATAACATTAATGACCTGTGTGTGCTTTAATTTGTTTCTTGTGGCTATGCTACTGTGTGCGTGTCAGACACCTTGCTGTCAGCTCCACTCAATGTGACCATCAGAGAGATTGAGGTCAACTCCGCTATGGTCACATGGGAAATCTTGGAGGGGGACCCTGTCATCGGATTTGCCATCACACAACAGGTACCTCTATGTGTGTCATGTACTTTGTGTGTGTGTGTGTTCAAACAGTTAGGAAATGCCCTTCTTTAATTGCCCGGTAAATAAAAACTGTACCCCCTAAGGGGACTTTTCTCTTGATCTAGCAGAAACCAATTGACCTGAGCAAGCAATCCTAGCTTGATAATAATGTACATTTTAAGTAGAACGTACATGGCCAGTGAAGCAGAAAAATCCCTGGAGACTTTATTTCAGCTTTTTCCCAACTGTTAACTAAGAGGAACCTGTATGCATTTGCCCCATTTCAGCCTCAACCAGAGCGCAGTTTCTGGAATTATCCGAGCAGGAAAATCTGACTTTGCCACCAGAAATCAACATTTGATAGAACACGCATCCAAGGAATGTTTGCTAACATAGAACCCTAACCTCTCTTAACATTGTCTTGAGGGAGCAGAGTGAAGCTGAATCTGTGGTTTTAGTTAAAGTGATATGGAATTCTGAGTGCAGATATTGTTACTTTGTGCCAATATTATCTTGAAATGTCCCCATTTTCATGTCAAAGAAATTACAATTAGAAAGATGGTTCCCCAGAACTTTTTCTTTGCACGTTGGAAAAACTTCTAACACATTTAGAATCAAATATCAGACTGTGGCCTGATGCATCAGTTTAACCTTGAACCTCTCTGCTGATTTGGTGCCAAAGAAAAGAGATCTTCTGTTCAGGGATCAATAAAGCATCATATTACATGAAGCCTCCTGGCCCTGATTTCTCTAACTCGGCTCTTCTGTTCCTTGCTCATTTGCAGAAGAAGGATGTGCGCATGCTGAGGTTCATCCAGGAAGTGAACACCACCACGCGCTCCTGTGCATTGTGGGATTTGGATGAGGACACAGAGTACATCGTTCACGTTCAGAGTATAAGCATGGGAGGCAGCAGCCCCCCCAGTGATCCGGTTCTCTTTAGAACGCCCAAAGAATCGGAGAAGATGGCGTCTAAAAGCCCAGGTGAGGGACTATAACACAATTTATTCATCTAAGAATGTACCTGGTTTTGTGATTGTTTTTTTACTTACTGGTGCTTAATAAGCAGCTCATTTGTCTGTATTTCTATCTTTACTTTATGCTACTGTAAGCTTTTTCTGACCTGTAAGTGTTGTAAGAGGACCCCATTAATGTGTTCTCTTGGATCCATGAAATCTCAAAAACCCTTGAAAGGATGTATTCCTTGGCAAATCCTCATTCTTTTGTTGAAATTGTCAAAGTCAAAAATGATGTTGAGCCTTACATGAACAGTGTGAGTTTTCACTTCTGCTACAAACACCTACAAATAGGTAGATCATTGAAATTCAAAACATGCAAAAGCACACAGAAACAGAAGCAATCATCCATTAACACAGCAGCACTCAGAGAGAGAGAGAAAACAAACGAACGTTCTTTTCCCCTGCTATTCACTTGCTGACAAACAATAATCTATATGCACAAATTCATACATCGACACACACAGGTGTATGCATACACAGCTGCTTTTAACCAGAGGCAGTAACACAGCAGAGTACTAATGTTTTGTTTGTGCTTTTACCCTTCATAATGAAAAAAGAGAATGGCTATTTGACAATTTGATACAAATAAAATGCAGAAATTGTTGTCATTGTGAGAGTCCCCCCTCCTCCACCCACCATACAATGTATTGTTCTAGTTTTCAAATGTAGAGGCTGCTGTTATCTGGAGCGCCTTGCAGTACTTCCAATTTTATCATGTCCGACCCAGTTACAGCACTGAGAGCAGCTGCTTCCGAGGGATACAGCAAATGCTAAATGCTCATCACCAGCAGTGATAAGAAAGGAAACAGGGCACATTAGGGAGCAATGTATTGCCTTGACACCAAGCCCCCAGGAAGTGTGCCGGGCTTTGAAGCCAATTACAATATTTACCATAGATTTATATATATAATGAAAGAGACTCAAATCTATAACAAATCTCATCCTGTGAAAACACCTGAGCCCCCTTTTTGCAGTACCTCCAAAGATGATTCTCTCCAGAAATGGCTCCTTAAGTATGATTCACAACAGTATTATTATTTTCTACTTTAATTAAATTTAATTATGCACCTGTCAGTTTCTTTGTACTTTATCAAACCTAAAAGAAAAAACAATGTGCAGTTTGTCCCATTGGGTCTGTTTGTCTGGGACTGTCTTGTCCGTCTGATCCATTCTAAAGTTGTAAAATTCACTAATAGCCAAATCGAAATTTATTTTTCTAGTCATAATGAATGTGCATCAGAGCCACTTAACTATGTTACTGAACTTTAATAGGGCTTACATGTGGGCTTCTAGATTGCTAGCACCTTTGACACTGACACGTACATACCAGCTCTGCAGGTCATGCTTTCTGTTTCACAGGGATCCTGACACACGCATGCACGCACGCACGAACGCACGCATTTTAGCAAATAGAACAAGGGGGACGTTTTGCTCTCAAGAAGAGAAGCGGCAAAAGGAGCAAATATTTGTGTAATGACATCCTGGCTCTGGCTAAATCTACATCTGTCACCTGGAGGAGTAACTAGTAGGGATGGGGATTGCTAATTTTTGTTGATATTGATACCCTTGTTGAGACTGCTTAATAATCCGAGCCTTTATCAATACCACTATCGATACTTTACTATTATTTGCCAACGGGCATGAGGTAGGCCTCCACGGTATGAGGAAAATATTAAATGTGCGATAACATTGTTATATATTGAGGTGACATATGACTTGCGATAAATAAACAAATATTGAAGTGTGCATATTAACTGCCTGGTTGTTTTTAAATTGATTACAGGATTAGACTTTAATATTTTAAATGCTGCTAAATGTTGTTTCTAGAGCAGCAACATTAATGTTTACAACAGTAAACTCACTATATATAAACTCAATATCTGACATCACAAGAGTGAGTGACATTTAGAAAGAATAAAAACTCAGACATCAGTCGGTATCAGTCCCTCCTCTTCCTCTTCCTCCTCCACCTCCCCTCTGCTGTTATTCACTGCCTGCAGGTAACGTTAGACTTACCTGGTCGAAGGAAGAGCACCTGGTTTGGCTCAGCCAGAAGTTGACTTTACAACAATGTGCCAAATTTTAAGACTACAGACCAGTCTGTGCTACAGACAGACAGCTTTCTATTTAGCTTGTCTGTAACATTTGGCTAATTGCCAAGCTAACGTTAGCTGTGCTTGTACATAACATACTGGATGATAGACTGGGGACAGAGATGATTAAATTAACCCTTTCTACATGTTTACCCTACAGACAGGTGTATTGATAAAGTATTGTCTTTTTACTCACGAAGGTTTTATTGCATGTAGTTAAAGTAACGAGAGTAGCTGTCGGCAACTCGAGTACTTTGGAGCTAACTCAACTTCACCGTTTCCACCATAATGGAGCGGTGGTCTCTGCTGGGCGGTGTGTGTGTGTGTAGGAGCCGACAGTGAGCAGGCAGGCTGCAGTCTGATGATAAATTTAATGTTAGTATAATACGAATATATCTATGGGTTACACTTTATTTGGCTTATGTCTGCCTACAGATTGTTTATAGTTGGCCTAGTAGGCCTAGATAATAGTATCCTATATAGCTAACACTAGTATACTATTAATTTTATTATTAATTCCACATATTCATTCATTAAATCATTGTGCAAGAGAAATGCTCTAAATGGTGGTTAGTTTCTAATTTGTTAGTGCTAAAGGCTAACTTGTCAATAATCATGACCATTCATACAGAATGAGTTTGCTTTAGCACCACGTCAGCCTTTTGTAATGTCCTGCCCCATCCAGGCTTTGATTGGTCAGTTCACGAAAAGTGGCATTGATGAGCAACTTTATAAACATGCTTGGATAAAAAAAGCACCCGATCTTCTCTCTTTAAATACGTGTTTTTTTTTTCAAAATACTAAACTTATCTCCCAGACCTACCTAAACCTCATTGGACGTCACGCCCCACCTTCACCCCCTTAGTGGATGATTCTCTCTCCATCACAGGATTCCCAAACACACCAGAAAATAAATGATCTGATCTTGCCTTGTGTTTACACCTGGTATTTTGAATGTGTTCTTATTATCCTCATTGAGATCAGGGCCCGTATTTATCAAGCTTCTCAGAATTACTCATAAGAACGCTGCTAAGAACTGACTTAAGAGTAAAAAAATTCTTGGCTCAAAGCTGTGCTTAAAAGTTAGTTAGTTATCAAGCATCATAGTCCCAATTTGAGTGAAGTGTAGGACTAAATCTTAAGTGTCAGTCTCAGTGCTGATTTACGACACTTTGCTGTGCTGCAAACAGGATTTTGCATGACGATGTAGCTAAGGACCAATCACTGAGATTTCCTTCTTTAAGAATATTCTCAGATATATTCACATTGAATGGTGAAATTCCTAAGAGGAGTTCATATTCAACACACGTTTAACAATAAAGAATTTTCGAGATAATACATTATGATATAGGCCTACACATTAATAAATGAAATATGAGCGCCATCAATGCGCCTACTACTCCTGCGAAGCCGGCTATTTGCATGAACTTTGTTTGCTCGATGAAAGTCGATGAAACGCGTGACAATGTGTGGAGACTATTCGGCTTATTGATGGTTGTGAAGGCCAAAATCATCAGCATTGCCGCGTTTGTCCTGTGGCAAATAAACGAAGCGTCATCAACACCTTCAATTTAACTGAAAACGCATTACTGTGTAAAGTCAGTGGTGAGATGACGTCCCTCACCAACTCGCTGACAAAGATTATGCCTGCGCTGTCCGACCCCGTCTTATTAAATGCGCTTCGTCAAATAATTCAGAAACATTCTTCCTGTTCTGAAAGATTTGTGCATGTCTCTGTCTCCACAGTGCCGTCACAAGCCCCTGTGGCAGCTCCTAACCACTTGAGAGACCCCTTGAGTTGTCTTAAATAACTGGGAGAGTAAGAGTGATTCTTAGGTTTGAGAAATGTGAGAACTTGCCTTGATTCTTAAGTTTAAGGAGTAAATTTCATGAATTGTCTGCACTTAAGACTAAAATGGTACTTTGAGAAGCTTGATCTTTGTGAAACGCTGTCTACGACAAATTCTTAATTATTTGTCCCCGCTTGAAAATTCGGCAAATGTTATTATTTTCTTTGTATAAAAGAATATTGTGTCAGTTTGTTTATGGATTCCAGCATGTTAGGCTACTCATTGAGTTTATCTAAGATTCGAACACAATGCGAGTCAGACTACCTCCTGATGTGGTCCTTTCACCTTTCACCGCGAGTGGATATGTTGGTGCCTAATACATTTTTAAAAATGATATTTTTACGACTGACGTGCCAACTTATATTATTCTGTTCACTTCTAGTTCCGTTTATTTAGAAAAACGGTCATAAATGCATGTGTGTGTGTATAGGCTTGTTATTTTACTTATAAATTTGTTTGTTAATTTTGTGTAGTAGGACGGGTGGCTGTCATGCAGCCTTAATCTGTGAATTCCACACAGCTTGTGTGATAATGAAGTTAATTGTAAGGATTAGCATATTGCTTAAGAAATAAGCTGTTTGTTTTGGTGAAAAATATTTGTAGCCTCGGGGAGGGTCAAGATAAAAAAAAAATGAAGTTGTTTACTAATGTATACTGAAAGCTAGTTAGCCTGAATTGCTAACGATTGCAGCTTACAGCAGAACAGACAAACACACTGGTTAACCCATTCCTCCCACTTTCGCTCTTATGTTTTTGGTTTATAAAGGCAAAAAAAGAAGACACAACCCCAAACCTTTTCAATGCAGAGTACACTCTTACTCCGGCCCCATGCTGCACACTGCTTCGGCACAAAGAGTAATCCAAAGTTTGACAGGTATGGCTAACCATGATGCAGGGTAGAAGCAGGCATGTTAACAAGGGTAACGCATGACTTGAACACAACGGGAGCACATGGCAAGTACAACACATGATCAGACGGACACTGAACAGAAACACAGGCAATATACAACAGCAAACAAGCAGAACTAGGAGCACAAACAGGTATAACGCATTAGGGAATCGACCAGACAAACACCAGGAACAGATGATCACCACATTAAAACATGAAGTGGGACAACACCCAGAAACAAGGATCAGAAGAGACAGAATACTCACATACAAAACCGCAAACAGACAGGAACAAACATGAAACCCTTCACAGACTATTATCCAAACAAACCGGGAACATACCAATACCAGACCCAGCCAGCGTCAAACACCTGACACAGACCATTTCAAAATAAAACGTGAAAACAGAGTGAGACACAGACAAAACAGCTAGACACACAGACCCTATCCTGACATACAGTAGTGGACACAGTTTAGCACCTAATTTAGAGACACTTGATGCACAAAACCTTTAGGAATAAGTTAACATATTATAGGAAAAGCAAAAATATCTCGCAAGTGTGGGTGATGTCTTCCGTAGTGTTAAGGAATATAAGACTTTAAGACAGACATAAAAATGTCTTACGTTATTTTGCTGTGAATTTGAGGTGATGTGTGACATGTGACAAGTGTTTAGTGGGACAATTTGTCTTGATGTTGAGGGGCTGACTCGTTTTGTTTGCTCCAACTTTGATCGAAGTTCCCTGTGTGTGTGCCTGTGTGTGTGTGTGTGCCTGTGTGTGTGTGTGTGTGTGTGTGTGTGTGTGTGTGTGTGTGTTTATGGAAACATCCATTAGCTGTCCTAATTAAATCTCCCAGCCATTACTGCTTTCCTCCCCTTCTAAACGGGTATTAATCTGCCTGACACCTATTTAGTATCTGCAGGCACAATTCAACACAACACACAACCTTTCTGTCCATTTAGCTCTCTTTGTCTCAATCTCTGCCTGTAGCTTATATCCAATAATAGCAAAATATGGTAAAAATCCTGAGTGCACTTTTCATAAGTTAGTAAAATCTTTGGTGGCTAGTGTTGAGGTATGTTTTAATGTTGGTTATCACATTTTACAAGGAGCTGCAAAATCTGCAGTCTTGTAAATCAGTCTTTTACGGGAGTAAAACATTACGGACCCTACTCACTGATGGAACTGTTTCAACCTTTAATTTATCTCTGACAGTAGTGCAGCAGCAGCAGCAGCCTGCGTCACATTTACACAGTTACCCACATACTGGGCAGTATGGAAGATGCCACAGTACAACCACAGTGATCTGTTCTCCCCAGTACAGCTGCAGTAGACGGGAGCACATAGGCCTACTTGTGTGAATGACACGCCACACTGATTTGCTAAATTATTTTTATGGAGTTTGGCTTGATGTTTTCTACTTCGAACAAAGAACAGATGCTTTGCTCTACAGATCAAATCATGACAATACTGTATAAACACTTTTGAGCAGGGCAGTAGATCTCATGTGTTGGAGTTTGTTATTAGCCTCATGTTTGACACACAAGTTGACAGTGACCTAGTCATTAGATTCTAACCTGACTGAGCTACTTTGATTATTGTATCTGTCATGTGCAGTAAACTGTCACCTGGTTCTCTTAGTTGTGTTAGTAATTAGTCATTTCAAACTGTATTTCCTTACTGAAACAAGTAATCAAATTGCTGTAAAGAGTACTAAGAAAGTAATCCATAGCTGCCCAAGACTGTTGACATGGCTAGTTATTCAAAGGAAATAAAACCTGTTATTGTTTAACTGGACTATCAAACGCAAGTCAAAACTCATATAATGCAATCATACTGTAATATAGAACTCAGATGAAGACCTCAACTTACAGCTTCATGTCATACCCAACACAAGCTTATCTTATTCAGAGAGCGGTCCATCAGAGGTCTGCCCTTGTAACAGAGACATGTAATCCGTTATTACCAACTTTATAATCGCGTACCTCCAATGTGTCAAGCTTGAGGCCTCAGCTAGACCACAACTAGCCTGACCACAGAAGCACCATCGTCCTCGACTCATCCAGACACTGTAAGATGGGGATGGTGACCACACTCGGGGAAAACTCAAGACTGCGTATAGAGAGCAGAAGTCATGGCGTCACTGATGCTGAGTTAATGTTGTTATGCACAGTTGATCAAAATGTTCCCATCAATTTCTACACTTCTAAATGTAATAACACAATTAAATTAATACCACCTTATAGTATCAGAAAGATACTACAAAATGGTTATTTTATTGGCTGTGGTCATTTCATAAACTGCGTCAGTAAGCTGCTTTAGTAAAATGATGCTGCATGTACTATGTTATAACAAGGCCAACCCCTTCAGCTCATGTGTTCTAGAGACTTCCTCTTTAAAAATACAAGTAAAGACAACTCTAAAGACACCCCCGTCTAGAAGTGGGAGAGGGTTTGACCAAGGGAAATGTGGGGTAGGACTAGGCTTGCTGTTGGCAACAGAGACTGAGAGGTTGTAGTCCAGACAGTGTTCAAACCCTTAACCCTGAGATTGGTGTTACGCTGCCGCTGCCAGACTCCTGTCAGCAAGAGAAATACAGTGAGTGATTGGTTTGGGATCCAGCTCTCTTTGTCTCTGTAGACCTCTGCTCTCACTTAGCTGTAATTACACTGATCAGAGTGGAAGATTTACACCAGGCGGCCTCTCTTCTCTCCTGTCACCCTGTTTTATTCTTTTATCTTTCCCTGCAGAGGTTCAGAGTGCTGGCAATTTCACATCTTCTCTCTGGGACAATGAATCATGTCCTCAGTGGCACGTTGTTGATTTTGTGTGTGTGTTCTCTCTCCAGATGAGGTGATGATGGAGGAGTTTGGTCAGGCTGCCCAGCTGAGGGCTGGAGAACTCATCATCATTGTAGTGGTGCTCATCATGTGGGCAGGTAATATTCCTCTTGAGCAATGTACATTTATCACTGCAGACCTCATAGAAATCCACTTGGGGCAAATAAGCTCACTGACTGAGGTCCTATTATAAGACAAAAAGCTGGTATGGTGTCATCTCTCTGTGGTGACTATTTTGTGCCCTGCAGTGGTTTTGGGATGATGTGATGATGGCCAAAACTTTTTTTCTAGGTTTAGATTCTGTACACTCAGCCAGATATGCTTGTCAACACAAAGCAGAGATGATGTTAATGGGAATTTCATTAGTTATGCAGGTATTACATCATAAACCAAATAAAACTTTTGGCCGGATAACGACACCAGATAAAAAGGGATTACCAAATTTATTACAGGTTACCATGAGGGGGCAAATAATGTCTGTGCCAAAGTTCATGGCAATCAATCCAACTGTTGCTGGAACATTTCACTCAAAACTACAAATGTCAACCTCGTGGTGGCGCTAAAAGGAAAAATCAGGGTAGGTATCATTAAAGTCATTAGGAAAAATCATCAAGGAACCATGAATACCAAATTTTGTTCGTAGATGTTTATATATTTCACAGAATTAGTAAAAACTTGAATTGCTGGTAGGGCTACAGAGTCGACAGGCATCATCCCTCGACAGGCCCTTGTGCATATCTGTTTAACATTTCACTTTTTTTGTGTAGTCTGGAGCAAAATGGTTGACCTATTGCCAAAAACAATATAGAGCCACCTTAGTGCAAATAAATACTGTACCTTCTTAAATCTCTTTAGTTTGCATTGTATTTACATTGATTAAATGCGCTAGCTAGAATAACCTGGGGATGCTCAATTGACGGCTTTCACTTTTACGCCTTAGTGTTAAGGAAAATATTGTGAGCCAGGTTCAAGTGTGACTGTTGAAGATGTACAACAGTGCATCACTATTAACTCAGCTGTGCCAGTCAGTCAACAAGCAGCAGAGAGGAGAGACAGAGTCTGACCTAGAGATTTGGAGAGTCTCTGGCTGTCACCTCTGGCTTACTTTAGCGAAGCAATTGTCCCTATCATGACCAGGGAACCTGTATCATAGTACCCATAAATTATTCCTTCACACTTGGCAGCTGCAGAAACTCTGACTCACACATTCTAATGTGAACAAACTGATATCAGCAAAAAAACATGTCAGCAACTGTACTCTTACTTTGGGGATCATTCAGACAGAAGCTGCTGCTCAGTCAGAGATGGAGAACTCAGCTCTTACATTCACATAAAAGTAAACTTTTTTGGCAATGGATTTTAAAATCATGAAAAGAAACAATCTGTTAACTGGTTTGTTCGTACTGTATTTAGGGATAAATAAATAAGCAGAGTCAATTTCAGGGTGTCCAAGCAAGTGTGGCCAGTTGCAACTACAAGGCTATAAGCCTGCTTCCTATCTATGCCTCCCAGTCATTAGCTCTCTGTTGCAGTTATTCTTTTGTGTATTTCAGCACTGTTTTACAGATGTACACAGCTATAAATAGCCATTCCTAACCTATTTCACCAAGTATAATGAGATACAAATATTATATTATTATTGTTATTTTTTTATTATTACAATTATTATAATTATTATACTGTATATAGCAGTAACAGGAAGAGGCCTGGATCTCTCTTTCCAATGTCGTGACGCAGACAATGAGACAGGGAGATTCAAAGAGAGTTAGAGAGGGAGCAAAACTGAGCAAATGAGTCTCGAGAACAGGAAAAAGGAGGACAGGATGGTGGAAAAACACTGAAAGTGAAGGAGGCGATTGTGTATTTCAGCTTTTAATTGGGCCTGTGGGGCATGCTGGGGGATACCACAGTGAGATATCCCATCTTGCCCTTGGTATTGCAGTGATCAGATGAGCAGAGGCTGACATAAGCAGAACAGCCAAGACAGAAGCCTGTTCGGGCCAGATTCCTCCTGCCTCAACCCTCCTTCTCCGCCCTCATGAATTATTCTCTTTCTCCTTCTTGTGCTTGTTCTCTATCTCTCTCCGCATCTATCTCTCCTCTGCCATGTTTTTAATCTTTTCGACTGAAGGCAGGCTTCACATAGTTATCTTATCATCAAGTTCATATCTCCGCTGACATGTTTCATCGCATTCATGTCTCTGTTTCTGTCAGTTCAGTTTGGTCGACTTTATTGAATGGATGAATAGCGATAAATAACATATCAATAGTACATATCATCACATCCTCCATCTGTTATTGAAAGAAAGGTGTTGCTGTGTATCAGTATTTCAAGGTGTAAACTGAAGGTCTTGAAACCAGTTTTCATAAAGCATTATAGAGGGTTGAATATAGAGATGTAGGCTTAAATTAGGTGAGATGCGATTTTACAATATGTGTTTTAGAATTGGCAAAACAATTTCTACTCAATGTTCCACTTACTCGTTCTGGGGCTGTTGGTCATATCACATGGTCCTCATAAGCAGATGAAGTTTGCTCAGTTGTCATGAAATGGTAGTTATTCAAACTTGCCATTATTGTCATTATTCTCTCATTTAGGATTTCTTGTAAATGTTAAAGGTTGAGAATAAATTTGAAAATATGTGATTAAAACAGGGTTTTAGAGCTAAGAAGTGTCCATGTAACCCTATTATATTATTAATCCTTAAAGGAATAGTTTGACATATTTGGAAATACTGTTGTTTGCTTTCTTGCTTTCTTTCTTAGCTTAGCTTAGCACAAAGACTGGTAACAATAAGCGCCTACCAGCACCTCTAGCTCACTAATTAACACGTCATATCATGTCATTGGCCTGGCATACGTTAGCTGTTTGCCCCCGTCTTTGTGCTAAGATAATCTAGCCGGTTGTTGGCTGTGGTTGTAATTTATTGGCCAGGAGCAGTAAAACAATGAGATATAACATGTCTTGTAAATGTTTAAAGCTGAGATTTAATTTGAGAATACATGATTAATGCAGGCAGGGTAGAGCTAAGAAGCTTCCATGTAACCCTCTCGTACTGTTCCTACTGAATTACTAATCCTTAAAGGAATAGTTTAATACCTTTGGAAATATGCCTAATCAGTTTTTTGCAGATAGTTTGATGAGACGATAGGGACCACTCTCATAACTGTCTGTTAGTTAGCTAAGCTTAGCATAAAGACTGGAAACAGGGGGGTACAGCTAGCCTGGCTCGGTCTGCTGCTGTTCAAATAGCTGATCTTGACCTTTAACCTTACCAAAATATACCAAAGGAAAAGGGAATTTTAACAGCCGTTATTGTTCTAACAGATAATTATCATGTCCGTCTCCCAGGGGTGATCGCCCTGTTTTGTCGTCAGTATGACATCATCAAAGACAACGAGCCCAACAACAACAAGGACAAAGCCAAGAACTCCTCAGAGTGCAGTACTCCAGAGCACCCACAGGGGGGGCTACTGCGCAGCAACGTCTAAGACCAGCCCTGCAAAGCCTTGCGCAATAACCAACTCCTTCAACCTCAGGACAGGTGAGGAACAAAAAATCTTTATTTACTGTCATCAACATAAAAATCTCAGCTTATGTAATAGGCCTACCTCACAGAAAACCAGGTTGTATATTTACTTCTATGTTTTTCTGTTTTTGCTCCATTCTGTAAATTACACTTTAGCAGCAACCTAAATCACCCACACAATCTTATCCTCAAGGGGCCAAGTCTTCATTAGGTTATGTTAGGTTAAACATTATTATATTATACAGTCAGGGGGCAAAAGTACTTTAGTAGTAGGTCAGAAGACTGTAGATTACGTATTGTTTGTAAATTCTTGTTGACGTAATAATAAACTGCCCTTTCAGAGTTGGATCTGTTTCTTTGTGTTTCATTTCGCATATTAATATAACATGCGTGACCGCGCTGCAGGTCAGCAAAAATGGACATAATGTTGTTCAAGTCAGCTGCTAGCCAAAAAGCTAAAGGAAGAATGGAGAACGATGGAGAGAGGTGTTCTTTTCACGGCTGTAAGTCCTGCCATTAAACCTGGCTGTGTCACACCCAGAGATGCAAAGAACATTCTCTTCCGGTTTTTTTTGTATTGAAGCATCTGCTAAAGCAGCACAGTAATGTTAAACTGAAGCATCCACGCAGGAGAGAGTGGCAATAATCAATGTTATGTGTTTTGTAAAAGCACTGAATACTTCTCTTATAAATGCATGTGCAAAACAGTAACTTTAGTTCTGAAGTCGAGACACTTGCTTGATTTTTTTAATCTCAGACAGTATCGTTAAAAAACATTATATGCTTCGTAAAAATCTTACTCCTTGATGCTGTTATGAATATGCGATTAGTTCAAATGTTGGGAGGGGCCTGCTTTGCTTTTTATTATTTTTAAATAGCCTATATCCATAGCCTATACGATACAGCATCCTCTGGTCTGAGAGGCAGCAGCGTTTTCAGTTCGGCTGGTTGTTGACTCCTCAGGTTAATTATTGTTCCAGTAAAGTGGATTCATTCAGAAGTTTTGCAAATAACACAAAACAAACACTATGATAGATTTTTGACCTAGAAAGCACTTTTTGCTTCGAATCCTTACAAAATGTTATCTGAACTTTTAATTTTATCATTGTATCTCACCAAGTACAGTAAATTTGTTTCTTCCAGACCCTGAGACCAACAGAAAGCCATTCTCAGACACCATCGTTCTGAAGAACCGATAAACCATTAGAGGAACTCTTCAAAAACAATGGACACCAATCTGAACTTGCAAAATCAAAGGCTGCAAATGGTCAAACAGGAAACAGAAGAGGACAAAACTACATTCACCTTTGTTGTGACCACAACTTCAGTGTAGCCTACTTTGAGTGGACAGCCAGTATAGACACAAGACATAAAATGGCTGTCAATCAAAGCACCGGAGGGAACGTACAATCTTCCTCACAAGAACTGCTTTATTCATAAGTAGGCCTACTGGTTACTCCTAATTGGTGGCATTGAATCCCAAGAACGGATGATCAAACATGAATGTCATGAATGTGTTTTTTTTTTCTTTTACTTCTTTTGTTATCACTGGTCAGAAATGTAGGTTGCCACGCAAGAATAGCTGGTCCAGGTATCAGTCAGCACACAACTAAACAAGCTATGCTCTGTTTTAAACCAAGGACTTTCTCTTTTTCTATCTCTCCGTCCACATTCCCTCCTTTCTGTCTTTGTTACAGCCCTTTGTGTAGCAGCTCATCTGTATCCCTTTCTTTCAGTGTCAGTGTCTCTCTAATAATAACATTGCCGTTTGGTGCTCCTCCTATTGTGATTGTTTGAGCCCTCACAATCCCAATCTTTATTACGGTATTGTTTTGTTATTGGGTCAGAAGTATTGCACATTGAGTCTTGTCTCCTGGCTTTCTCTCTCTGCGTCATCAGTTAAGTGATGCATCTGTTTTTGTCTCTCCTCTCTGAACTGGAACCTTAATGCCCTTGTCAGTTCAGGGATAAAATCTGACAAATTTGTTTTACAGCGCCCCATATTTTCCTTATATGAGTTGAATGACGCTGTCTGAGCCATGATTCAGACAAAGTTCAAGGATTGACCAGGCAATGTGTCATCACAGCGGTGTCACATTCCAAATCAAAATCTGGCAACGACTTCCAAGTTTTAAATCCAGAAGTTTACTTCTATGTCAAACTTTTAAAAGACTTGCATGGCTGGAAAATGACTGATTTGGGTTCAAATTGAGATTGATTGTTGATATTCAGCACCATATGGTGCCTGTGGTCTGCAACAGGGTGTGCAGGGAATAAGCATTGAGATATGTAGGGTATCATTCCTACTGTATACACTGGTCAAAGTCTGGTTGGGTTTCCACTCTGGTTTGGCTGAATACCAGCAGGGATGGCAGGCAGTAGAAGCACAGAGATGATTGGTTACGTGGCTGAACCCTGTTTTGAAATTCTTTGTAAGACTACATTCATCATAAGCGATCTAAGGCTGTAATGGGAAAGAGAAAAAATATGTAAAGTCCAGGTGTAAATTCATCACAAATGCAATGCAGATTTGGTTGCCCAGCTGCCAGCACACAGTACAACTTTCATGGACTGGCAGTACAATTAAAATTTACCTGAATATGTAATCTGTATGCTGATGATGAGATTATCTTTTTCTTTTAAGAATACTGTCATAAAAATAATCCGGGTACATTGCCCGGCAGTGTATACAACTGAAACCTTAAACATGTCTCTCATGCAGGATGCCAGTCTAAACAATGAAAGGTTTTGTTGTTTTACTTTCATCCCATTAAAGGGTTAACTGTTGGCAGGCTGATCCACATTTACAGTAGGATGCTTGCCACTATGTGGGACAGTCATTGGGAGAGCATCAGAGTTAGCTAGTATCCTTACTTCTTTAACTGTTGCTGAAATAAGTAATCACATATCAATTAGTTTGACAGAAAATTAATTGATCAAAATTTTGAAAAAATTCCAAACATTTCCTGGTTACAGCTTCAGAAGTTTGGTAATTTACATACAGTATCCTTCATCGTACAGTACCATACCATAAATACATTTGTGTTTATTCACACCGGGATCTGATAACTGATTGCATAGAAGAAGTAATCAATTTAAGGTCAATATTCTATATTTTCCTTCTTGTCCAACAATCTAATGAAAAAAACAAAATAAAAAATGATGAAGTGTTACATGTCTAGCCAAAGCCTGATATGTATCTTATTCCCCTGTGCCATAGAGCTCCATTGTTGTCCAAAAACAATGAACCACATTGTTTAACAATGAGCAGGGGCACTGTAGTTTATAGGAGTCAATCCCACAGCTACTTCCTGCTGTAGAAACTCACTAGTGTGCCACATGTGCATTAATCTACAGCTGAAAATAGTCCAACTAATGCACAATTTAAGTAACATTTGCAGTACCCCAAATCTTTTACTGAGCTTTTCAAAAATGTAGCCTGATATTTGTGAGTTGTTTTAAAAGATTGACTTCTTCAGCAAGAACAAATTGGCTTAGGCTTGGGAAGTTGGAAAGTATTGAGAGACATACTAACATATGGTTTTGTTCTTTTCATGGGATTTGTTGAAAAATTAAAATATAGAATATAGAATAATGGCAGCCTAATCCTTAAAAGCAAAAACAATTAGTAATCAACTAGGAAAATTTTAATTATTTGCACTCCTAGTTATTAAGCACTCTAAAATGTCCCATTAAATCATAGCATACGTATTCTTTGTCCTTCCCACTTATTTAGCTACTACTTCATCAAAGGTTTTATGTGAAGGAGCATCATGCAATCAGAATACTCCAGCTAAGGATAAAGTGTCATCATCTTCTTTGGGGCTTCCTGTTCAATTATTATGTGCTAGCCATATAATTGCAAATACAATGGACCCCCACCCCCTGAATGCTGACGCTCACCAGTTCACTGATATGTCAGACGGAAAAATGTTGTGAAGCTGAACGCAGCAGACTTGCAGGCATATTAGAGATAATGAGTGAATATCTGAATGCCCCCCCCCCACACACACACACACACATGCTGAATTTAAATACTGTCATGTGCTGCTCTCAATCATCACTTCTACCAGCACACTGAACCATCTCCCTGACATTCATTTTTCACTCTCTCCCTCCGCCACCAGCCTCCCTCGTTCCCTCTGTATCTCCAGCCATCCCCATCTGCCCTCATTACCCAATTTATGGTTTCCCCTCACTTTCTATCCCTCTGTCACGATGCTTTCTTTCTTATATATCATTCCATCCTTCCTAATTTCTCCCCTTCAGCAGTCTGTCCTCACTTCACTTTCCTCTCCCCTGTTTCTCATTATATCCACTCTCAGACCCCCGTGACCTGCCTTCTCCCTCTTGTGTGTCTTATTTGGCCCAGGCCCACTGCCTATCCTTCGCTTCTCTGCTCATTTATCACCTTTTTGTCTCAAACTGGCCTGGATGGACACTTCACCTGGTAAACACGTAAGGCAAAACACACTAGAGCAAGGAGGAGAATGAAAGAATCAATAAAATAGGAGAGCTGACAGCTAAGCTAGAGATAAGAATGGTAAGCACTTTTTACACTATTAACACATACACATACCTAAAGGAGTTTTTTGTTTTGATATCTAATAATACTATATACACTGTTGTACAAGAACAATGCTGTATTTAAATTTTTTTTGTCTTCTACGTGTATCATCAATTGGTGAACAAGCAGACTTTTGGCCTGGAACATGTAGCTTTAGCCTCGTTTACCATGATAACATGCAGGGAGTCATCATGTGCATTTTAAAACAAGGCATCTGTAGACACTAAAAAGCCACCCAGAGACATTTTCAACTAACCAATGGATCTAATGTTAGCTTAATCTGCTAGCTAGCCATAGCTGATAAAAATCTGGCAAAGTGGTTAAAAGTGAGGTTAACGATTAACTCAACACCATTTGAAAATCTTGTCCTTGCTGGCCTCCAGTGATTTACCTTCTCACATTGTTGCAGTTTTGTACAGGTCAGGACATAGTGACAACACCTGTCACCACTGGGTGTGGTACAAAGTACATTTCAGACCCTGTTCAACCCCAACTCCACGGTGAGAGTCTTGCCAAGGACCTGTGCCTCTTGCTTTGCCCAGTCTTCTTAAAGACTAAAGACGAACAGTGATTGACACTGCATTTGAGAATTATCTGGCTTTGATTGACCAGATTTTTTTCTTTTCCGTCAGGATATAGTGACAGTTTTAGCAAATATGACAAAATGTTTTCCCAGAATTCCCTACTGCTGCTTTAAATGTAGGATGAAGGTGAAAATAATTAACAGTTTAACACACAATCTCTCAAACTAGAATGGGTGTAAAACAAATGCATCTTGAGAGCAAAGAATGACTGTGTAGAATGAATAAGTGACTCAAGTGGTGGTCTATTAACTCAAGCTGGTTGTAGTGAGAAACCATCTGACAGTGACTGCATGCAAACAAAGGGGAGGAGACTAAAACAGCAGATTTGGTGATCTTTGAAGCATATGATACTTGAAGCGATGACAGAAGTGGAGCATCATGGCAGTCCTGTAGAACACAGCAGCATTAAAGAACAGGCGCGTCTGACAAAGCAGAAAGTGGAGATTTGAATGTCAAGCTTTTTCCAAAGGGAGCGTAGGTGGTAGTGTCTGAGGGAGCCTGTTAGAAGCTGGTAAAAAAATGGTAGTTGTTGCTCCGTCTGCGCAGATGGAAGTGGAGGCAGGGGAAGACACAGGAGATGGTGATGTACAGGAGATGTATATGGTGAGTGTGCCACCAGCTTTTTGTCCCAGGATCTACTTTTCAAGGAACTAAAAGGTTCCTTCAGCCCATTGTTGTGTGCTTTTCCACCGCGGTCTAAAGACCTGCGAAGATTAGGCAAATTAATCAGCTGACATATAGCCTGTGCCATAAAAAGCGATGGACAGGCATCATTATTTAGCAACCACGATCCATGACCAAAATGTATATGTGAACATCAGATTTGATAGGAATATAATGAAAAACTATAGGCTATGCTTGACTACTAAAAATAGCTTTTTTATTTGTGAGCATAATGAAGAGACACGATTTGAGTTCGTTGCAAATTTAAAAACAAACTCGATAAAGAGATCAAGTTCTTAAAAGAACTCCGGCACAGGGAAAGAAACACTAAAATAAAATCACAGCAGATCAGCTCACAGCACTCACGTCTGTGTCTGCCTGAGCGTCGGAGGAATGTAATTTTAACGCGTTTATTACCTGTTGTAATTAGCTGGTGCGTTTGTTTTGGAGAAGAAGAGACGTACTTCGGCTCCATGTAAAAACTTCCTGAAAACTTAAACGACTCCAGACTTGGTATTTAGCGTAACTCCATGAGCTGTTAGCTGTAAACACATCGCTGCACGATGGCTGCTATTTCCGAGAAATAGATTTAATGCCAACTACGATCTCAGGCGGACATCGACGAGACTTGTGTGTGCTATTTGACTGTTTGTGATTTATTGGTTTGCAAACAATGGTGGAAAAGAGAGGAGTTGTACCGGTAGTACCGGAAAGTCCTACCCCCTGAGCAGGGACTTTTTTTGGGGGTGAAATAAAGACCCTAAAACTAAATTTAAAACCTGGTCACTGTGGTGGAAATGCAGTTGGTTCCTCCAAAGGTTCCTATTTCCGTGTTGTAGTTCTTGTAGTGGAAACACAGCTTAAGAGGTGAGGTAACCTGTGCCCTTTTGCAGTTTAACAGGTAACAAGCATATTATGTAAAAGGTCAGACGGTTCCTTCTAACTTTTGACGTTACGCTCTCTGCAGTTAGCTGCAGCATGCTCTCTTGCCTTCAGAAATCAGAATGACTTTGTTCTCTCTTATGTGATTGATCAAAGGAAACAAACGCTATTGACGTTGTTCTTGCCATCATCTTAAAACACACATTACAAAGTTTATTTTTTAAATTTATCATTAAACCGGTTGCATATGGGGTTAACATTATCTGGATCACTGAACATTAACTTGATAAAGTGGGTGATAAAAATGAATGTGCTTAGTAACTGTAATATGACTGAAGCTGAAGTGGTAATTTTCCTGTATCTGTCTTATCCAAGCACACATACTCACTTAAACACTCACTCATGCATCAAGTCTATTCTCCGGCTGGCTGCGGTCCAAACTGACATATTGAGGGGAAGCAGCAGAAGGCAGGTCTGGCCCAGACAGCTCTGTCTCTGTCTATCAGACGCTGCAGGAGACGACTCAACAGCTGCTCAAGGTGAACTTCCAATGAGGCATGTGCGAATATGGAGCCTGAGGCCGGGAGTGAGACCTAAAGACAGAGAGAGAGAGAGGCAGATGGGACGATGAGTCAGAGAGTCAGAGGGAATAGCATTGGGAGTGACAGACACTGAGGGAGATAAAGGATCATTACACCCAGGCTACGTCCACACTACTACGTTTTTGCTTTAAAACGGAGACCTTTTGCTACGTCCCAGCCTGTTTCCCACCGCCACAGACACTTTGGACTCTTGGACTTACTTTCAGTAACAGTTCCACCTCATTGTCGGTCCATGCAAAATAAATATCCATTCTAAAATGCTGGTGTGGACAGAGATTGTAGGCGTTTTAAAACTCCATTTTTAAACAAAAAAGCAGTAGTGTGTATGTGTCCCCAGTGGGGTTTGAAGTGTTAAAGCTCCAAGTTTAGTCCAGTATGATGAGGTTTTTGAATGTTAACAGGGGTGTTTAGTGTGTTGTGGAACAATCAGTGTGATTCCAAATGTAAACGTGAAAAAATATGAAAGTAATGTTGGCAGAAATGTATTTATAAAACCACAACTAGTTAAAGTAAAATTTGCATATACGTGTCCCAATGGCCAAAAATGATATAATCAATCACTGCCTTACTTTGTGCCCATGCAGGTTCTGGAAGCAAATTATTTTTTTTATATATTTGCTGCAGGCAGCTTTACCATAATTTATAGGTTTTAGTGACCTGACATCCCTAGATTTGTTTGTGCTTGCTTGACTTTACATTCTTTCAAAGGTAATATTATTTTGTTTGTTTGGATGTTTTAGGCCCTCATTACTTATGAAACTATGACTGAAGAAATTTTAACATAATAAATAATCCAGTAGTGCAATTTGTCCCATTGCGACACCCTAAGCCTCCCTAACCCCAGCCTCAAACCAAAGTCCTGCTTAATTAATTATCATGTGCCAACGGAAGACTATAAAAATGGTTAACGTAATCCCTATTTAAACTGGTTTGCCTGTACTGTAGATGACTGGATTGTTGAGAGCCTTGAATAATCACCCTAAGGTCCTACACATAGAAAAGAATAGGGCCGTTTACTTATGGCAAATATTTGTACTTTGTGTCGAAGCAAATAACCAAGAAGCATGGATCTACAGCAGAATAATGGAGTCAGTGTTTTATGTACAATCATGGTGTCTGTGTTTGAACCGTTTTGATGTTCATGGGATAAAACCTGTTCATGAGGGCTAGCATGACTCTGCTATTGTTCACACCCATGGTATATATACTATTTCTATGAAAATATAAATGTCTAATTATGTATTAACACAGGAAAGAATTAAAATATTTTCAATGCACCATTTATGTGTCTTGGTCAGTTAAAGAAATGTCATTCGTTCTTGTCATGATGGGAAAAGCCATGAAACTGCATGTACTGAGACACTGAAACTCTACCACGGATACGTACTATATGATAATGAAATGATTGAAATGATTGATGCTAATGCTTAAATGATTAGTCGATTGATAGATCAGTTGACCAACAGAAAATTAACCAATAGAACAATTTTTGTATTTTTTCTTGTTTTTACTTTATTCTAAATTGAATGTTAGTTAAGAAAATAATCCCACCACAAGGCTCATTTAGTAGCTATTTTATTTTAGTAGCTGGAGTTCAGTAATAGCGTATGATCTTCAGCAGTTTTTGCTTACATCTGATGTATGAAAGGTACTATACAAATAGCCTATTATCTTCATTTGTGGTTAGAGTTTGCCAGAAGACATGGAGTTGTAGACAATTTTCATTTATTAAAAAATATTTATTTATGTTGTTTCATAATTCATTCATAACAGAAGTTATCTCATTACACTTTTCATGTTGAGCAGGTCTAGACAGTACTCTTCAAGGTACAAATCAAGGACTTGGTTGAAGAGACTTGAAGACGTTTCGTTCCTCATCCAAGAGACTTCTTCTGTTCTGACTGACTGGTAGGGAAACAGCTATTTAACCTCTGTGGAGTCGTTGTCCAAGATGATCGATACCGCTGGTTCCTTAGTAATATTATGTACAGAGACCCAACAATTCCCACCACCAATAAGCACTTAGTGACAGTGGTTATGTACTTGTCACCAAGTGGGTGGCCATTAGCCTCGGCCGGTGGAGAGAGCAGCAGGAAAGAAAACAGTAGCAATGTAATTTCCACATAGAGATGTAAAATAATATGTAGTTGTAATAATACAAATATTAATAAAAATAATAATAGAAATAATGAAAGCAATAATGATAATAATAGGACTAACAAGCACTTTAAGTAAATAAAAGATGAGGTTCAATCTTCACCTTCAAATATCAATAATAAAGGTAATATAGCGTTACACATTTCTACCAGACAGAGCCACATTTGTAATTTGGCTTATTTATTTATTTATTTATTTATTTATTTATTTATATCACTTAGCACAAAAAGGGTCCTGGGCCCACTTTGCATAGTTTTCAGCCTGGTTCTGTGGGTTTTGGATAAACTGTGATGGGAATTTGTTTTACATTAACTCCGAACAATAAATCATAGAAATTTATGATTAATCAATCATGAAAATAACACTTTATGGAATCCAGTCAAACATCAAAATATCCCACTTTAGTCCAGATCAATCACCTCCAGTCGCATCTGGTTCAAGGCGAAAAGCTCTTTAGTTAAAATGGTTTAGTGAAAAACCAATATCAGACAGTTTCCCATTAAAAATGTAATCAGACTCCATCATGTCCATCAAATAGGAGGCAGGTGACATGTCATGCTGGCTTACATCTGATCTTAATGAAAGACCGCTATCGGTCCAATATATCAGATGTTGCTATGCTAATGGATGGTGTCAGTGGCCAAAGTAGGCCTCCAGTTTATGGGTTGTGACAAGGTCAGGTTGTGATGGTTGTGGTCCAGGCCTTCAAACTCAAGGCTGGTTTATGAGGCTGGACCATCAGCCGCCATGCATAACAACCCCTAACAGACACACAAATGCACTTATCTCACCCATTCTGGGCATTCAGTGGAACCAAAAACATAAATTATACTGGGGATCCAGCAAGTGTTCAAGTGTTTCTCACACTTAGGCCCACATACAGTACACACACAAGCTAATGATGTTGTGCCAAATAAAATGGTGATATTTGCTTTATAATAAATGGTGTAAACAGTAGTGGTAGATGATGAATCAGTAGATTGTCAGAGGAGGCTCATGGAGGCTAATGATGCAAACGCTTCTGTTCTTGGTTCTAGCTTCGGATGGCAGGAGACGCTAGTGTCTGTCAGATGTGACGTGGATGTCAAAAATGAAGACAAGGACATGTAGACACAGACATAGCAGATACAGAGAAACACAATCATGCTTTTTGCATCAAAGCAGCGCTATTCCCTATCCAAGTCTTTATAGTGCCCTTGATCTCTGCTTGGCTTTCACTCTGCACTCACCGCTGTTTTATGAATATTTAGATACAGAAACAATGCAAAATTAATGTTACATTTTTTTCCCCATCCAACTGCTCCAATATATTACTTTTGACAGGTCATATTATGCACGTAATTTATTAGATATGTGCATTAAGAATGACATCTATTGCAGGTCCTTTAAATGAATGTGCTTTGAAGCTTAAAGCTTTTGAGCATTGAGGATGGCTTGCACATCAGGCTGGAGGTGGTGTTCATAGGCAGATGATGACCAACAGCCCATAGCTTTCAGCGTTGACATAGGAGCTATGGCTGCCGCAGTTGTTGCTGCTTCTATGTGGAGAGAATGAGCAGTGTAGTGCCCATGACTAAATAATCAAACAATATGGTGTGGTATAGTAGTCAGTGAATTAGTAGTATGAATGAAATGATAAGTGAGAAAAAGAAAGCAAAAAGAATTGGGAGCGTGGAGTAAAGGGAGCGTTTCCCTCTTCTCTGTCTCCAAAGTGCCACAGCTAGGATGAACACCAGGCGCCCAGGTGGCTCCGATACTTGATGATGATGACCCCACCTACTGACATCTACAACAGAACACACACACTAATGAATATCCCCAGCAGCCAAACAAGACGAGAATGTCCCAAGGACATCACAGATGCAACTAAGAATACATTTACACTGTAATGCAATCCACCAATTGTTTAAATAAAGTTGGCCTGTGTGAAGTTTACCACTTTTTATTTGCTGCTAAGACTGTGCCAATCTACTGTATGGTAATTTTGAGTCTATAGTGTGTTGAAGAATACTTTGCCTCACAAGGCACTATATGTTGGGGTTTTCAACATGGGGTCAGGTTTGGTTACTAGCTAAATATCAAAGATATTCTTGAAATATTAATAAAATAATAATATTCAAAGGCAATTAACTATCAATAAGAACTATGGGGCACCACCCTGGAATTTGGGACTATTAACCAAATATGATCTGTCTAAATGAACTATTCTAAGTGAAAATTAAATAAAGCCAACAAAAAAACAAAGCATACAAAACATACAAGAAATCAGCAGGCGTGCGTGTGTGTGTGTATGTGTGTGTGTGTGCATGTGCGTGTGTGAGACAAAGGAGGGGGAGAGACTAAGCGAGAGGGGAGGGACACGACCACGTGGGAGAATCGCAGACCCGGTTTAGAATGTGCTCCGGCTGATTTTGGAATTAAAAGGGCGGCTGATGTCCCTCTCTCCTGAACTACAAAATGGCGATGCACGCTGACTCTACGCTGCCGTGGGTCACACGTCAGTAGTGATGGGAATTACGTCTCTTTGAAGGGAGCCGGATCTCATGGCTCAGTTAATTTCCGAAGCCGGGTCTTTTGACTCCCAAACGACTCTCCATTTAGGACCAATTCTGAAATCAACTTTATTGTCATTATGCAGAGCACGGGTACAGAGCTAATGAGAGTTAGCAGTTCTAACCAGGAGTGCATAAGTATAGTGTTTTTACAGATGAGAGCTATTATGTTGTATCGTACAAGAAAAATAGTACAGAAGGGGGTGGACAGCGTAAGAGGATGGAGAGCGCAAATGTATGGATGTAGGTACAGTAAGAACAGCAATCTATGTATATGGTAAGTATGCAGTATGAGTATAACAACGTACACACAGTAGTTATATATTATTCACTAGCAAGGACCACAATCAACAGGTATGATTAAATGATTTATTGAGTAACGAACAGAAGATGTATGAAGCTTGCAGTAGCTGAATAGACATTAGAAAGCGTTGTGGGGAAGCTACGATAGGGAAATCCGGCGTAGCACCCGGGCACGACGGACCCCCTATAAACCTATGGAGAGGAGGAAGGAGATCAGGAGGCAGGACAGAGAAAGGGGTGGGAGGGAGGGATGCAGGATACGGAGGGGAGGACTTAGGACGTGTGGGTATTTATGGAAATGCTGGCGATGACGCGCTTGATGTGTGGCCCCGCTCCTGAAACTCTGCTAATTAGCACCACTTAAACCCCAGTGTAGGGGTTTGGTCTGTGCAAAATATGGTCACTGCCTAAGTTACATTCTTATAAATATAAGAAATAAATATGCAAGATTCTTGATCTGCAATACATTGAAATATTCTGTCAAACTGATGGTTAAAACGTGGGATGGGTCAAGAATCATATCCTAGTTGATGAAGTTAATGAAAATTAAATAGTCTGGTTAATGAATAATTACACAAATCAATACATACACATACTGTATATTTCAAAGAGTAAGAGTAATTAGTTTAAGCCTCCCATTTTTCTCTTCAAAGAGCCGTCTCGTTAGCAAACGACACATCACTACATGCCAGGCTGGCTGCAGAGGTCACATGGTTTGTGTGTGTGTGAAGTTAGTAAACAGGCAGGAAGAGAAGAAAGCCACAAAGCAAAGCTAGAAACAAGAACTAGTCTGAAAGTGCAGACAGGCAGTGTGTCTATCAGTGCACCGATCATTAAACATGCTCATGATTTTGGTGAATTGATCGTGTCCGTTTGTGAACGTGAACTCATGCAATGCTCTGTTAAACTCATTATAAACTACTCAAGTAACACAATCCACATTATAAAAAAAGAAGCAAGGAATCGATGCCAGACAGGAATTAAGTTTATCTTTAATTTTTGGGCAAAGCCTACATCGACGCGCCACTGACAGAAAAACATGGATAATCCATGAAGGCAAACAAATTACAGTGAAAAGAGACAGTTTGGAAAGTTATTATAGTCAGTAGTTATAGATAATTCTTTAATCCATTAAACCCCCATCTTCCCATCTTGCAACCACGGCTGCCGATAATGAAATTTAACACACAGCCAGGCTCAACTACTGCAGCTAATTTAACTGTAACATAAAACTTCTATTTTTTGGTGTTGTCTTGCATTGTCTA